CTCTCTCTCTCTCTCTCTCTCTCTCTCTCTCTCTCTCTCTCTCTCTCTCTCTCTCTCTCTCTCTCTCTCTCAAACACACACACATACACACACACTGTGGATGTTCGAGTGTGCACAAGAGACATGCAGAAATTAGGAATGAACCTGTCTGGTAGTGTCAGAGCTTAGAAGTCTCGTTTTGATCAGTGTGGAGCTGGTTATGAATGCCCACTTTTGGCATGATGCAGGCATCAGGTCGCTTCATGGTTATTTGGTTTATCATTGCGGGCTCCTGCTGTGGAGCTCGATAAGGTGGATTTAATGTAGTTGAGGGAGGCATGAAACATGTCATGCTCAGCACTTCTGTTGTTTCTGACCTCAAGTTTGCCGTGCATGGCCAGATCTTGCCAGACTGCTGTTGCTGAAAAAGAGAGATGTAGTTAGTTGGTGGTTTGGTGTGCAGGAAGGGGGGTGGTGGGGGAATGGTTGGAAGTAGTGGGGTTTTCAACCGTTTTTGTTATTTCTTGAAGAATGTCTTACCGTTCACTGTGTTGTTACTTTTGTTAGTTTTTAACTTTTTGTTGTATTTTGAACTATTTTAGTATTTTGCCCTTTCTTTTTCCGATGGGGTTTGACATTCATGTCGCGGGGGACTAATAAGAAGGCTGCCAAACACTGTACGGTGTATGATATCGAAAGATCTGTGAAACATGTGCGGAGGTTTGTCACAGCTGTATATGCTTGATGTGAGCTGCGCGGTGCAGTCAACTGACATGAAGCCGGGCTTCTTAGGCTTTGGGTACAGTCAAGCCGGACTTCTGCACCACTGGGGGTGGTTAAAGCGGGCGCGTTTTTTTGCCATTGGTGATTGGTTTCGGACATGCGAGGCTTATAAAGTTATATTAACGGATCATCAAAATCCGGCCGACTGAATCAGGTGATTTTCCCGGAGTCTTTGTCTCCTTCATCGAGATGGCAAGAGGTTTATGACGCTTCATGGAAGGACTGAAGTAAGAGTGGAAGCTGAGGAAGGAAAAAGGTGAAGAAACATTTTGTTAATGTCAAGGAGCTTGCAGCTTGAAGCAGTGGATGATGCGAAGAGCAATGAGCCATGTGAGTCTGATGTCTCACCTGTCAATTGAGATGAAGAAGGGATTTGTTCCATGGAGTGAAGGAAGAATGCATGTACACATCGCAGCAGAGGAAAAAGGGGAAAAAAAGAAGAGTGGATGTACAGGAAGGAAAAAGTGAAGGGAGATTTTGGTAAGAAGGATGGTGATTGAAGTAGCGGGTTGTAGCCATAGGGAGGGCAAGAGCCATCGGAGGAGAGACGTCCCACGTACTGATGGCATGGGATTGAAAGAGTCGATGCGATCAAAAGAGTCGATCTTGTGTCGAATGGGATGAGAAGGGGCTTGTTTCTATGGACAGAAGGAAGAGCAGGTATGCGGTGGCGAAAAAGGTGAAGAGATGTATTCTGGTAAAGAGGCTGCAGGTGGAAGCAAGCATTGTAACAAGCCATAGAAGAGGTAGTTGGGAGAAAGAACAGTGCGACGAGTATGAAAGGGAGGTAGAAGCAGCAGTGGAAAGTCAGGTGTTGCTTGCTTGCTTGCTTGCTTGCTTGCTTGCTTATCCAGTACTTCGAGGGGCTTTGGAACCAACCCCCTTCAACAGCAACCGACGCCTTTTACTCTATAAGTGCAACAGCGGAAGCAGCGTGCTCTGGTGGAATTGAACCAGGTCACAACATGTTGAGCACCATCAGGTTGGTTGCTTGCTCAGCGCTTATCCGATGGTCATAGCAGGTTCGGAGCCTCCAACAGCACAGCTTATTTGTTATTATTCTGATGAGCACGGCACTCGTGGAACACTGGTTGGGTCATTCAGTGTTAAGTTGTGAACACCGTTCCATTGGATGCTTGCTCTCCCCTTGTTAACCTGTGTGTTGAAGGTGTCCCAGCTCTTTTGTGTTTGAAGCAGCTCTTTGCTTTCAGTTGGGAAGAAGCAGCTCTGTGCTTTCAGTTGGGGAAGATTTGGGGCCTTGAGACTGTCTACATGGCATGTAATTCTGTTTTGGAGCGCAGTGCACGGCAGCGTCTTTGTGTTTTCACCATTGAATAAAGTCGATTCTTCGCTGCGGTCGTTTTGCATGGGAGCCTCAAAGTCTCAGCGTGAGGTTTTTGATCATCATTCGAGGTTAGTGGTAACTTCAGATTCAACGTCATGTCTGGTATTTGTATGTGCAATATTTTTCGTGTTATTACGTTGTTGACGTCTTTTATGATCAAGTTTTATGTGAGTTTGCGTGCAATTGGTGCAATCGAAACGCAGGGACTGTTAGAGTAACCGCCATCGGGTGGAGGGATTTAAGCTTCTGTTTCCGTTTGACCTTATGTACAGAGCTTGAAACGGAGGCTGGGGGGGGGAGGGAGGCTGGGAGGTGTACAGAGTTGACATAATAGGAGGAGGAGGTTATGATGGGATGCAGGATGATGATATTTTTGGGAGGGGTGAACAGGTGGTGTGAGAGAGGCGGCCAAATGGGAAAAACAGTTTTACATTTTGTCATGAGGTAGGCTAGCAGACATGGATAGATAGCCATTGGAGCGGACCGTGGAGACCTAATGGGAAGGGTGACCAGAGATGAAAGATGGGTAGGCTGCCAGAGACGGGATGAGGGTATCTTCGGGAGGTGCAGACAGAAGGGGGCGAAAGTGGTGGCCAAATGAGAAGGAACAGTCTGCCATTTTGTCATGACGTAAGGGTAGAGCTGGGCTGACAGAGATGGATATTGCTATTGCAGTGGATGTGGAGATCGAAAGGGGCAAGTCGAGGAGGTGGGGGGGGGGGGGAATAAAGGCACAGCCGCACAGGCCCTGTAGCAAAGCTGCCTCCTCGTCCTCCACCTTGCACTACTGTCGTCTCTTTGCCAATCTTCTGCACTTTCTCGCATGGATATTCATGCTGTGTGCTTTTTTGACATTATATGGTCTGCATTGAGTCGGTTGGGGTTGTGTCAGTTGGATGCTCCTGTCGTATGCCGTCCTCAACCACCGAATGTACTTATCATTGGTACGCTAGACCCCGAAATTCTCTCTATGACTTAGTTGTAATCCCTGTGTTAGAGTTTAGCTGAGGAGTTAAATGTAGGAGAGGGAGGTTGCCTGCAAGCTGTTCTGTGACTGGTGTCGACTTTCGCCCATCTTTGTTCGCAGCAGGCTGTCGTCAACCTGGTCAACCTTCTTTGGTTGTTGATGTTCTAGATTACTGACGATTACGCTTAGCTTGTCGATTCCCAGAAACGTTCTTTTTGTTAATTGGAAACTTCTTGAGAAGAGAGAGAACAAAGGGGCATGTCGGTGTAGCCCCTCCCGTCACACTACCAGAACCAATGATAGTGAAGCTTCCTTACGGTATATTTCTCAACTTGAAACATATGTGCCTCTCATGATTTTCCCTTCTCCCCCTGAGAAGGGTCTCTCTCTCTCTCTCTCTCACTCACACACACACACACACACACACACACACACACACACACACACACACACACACACACACACACACACACACACNCACACACACACACACACACACACACACACACACACACACACACACACACACACACACACACACACACACACACACTGTTGGGTTTGTTGATTATACACGGCCTAGTTCTTTGCCCTGCTTTAGAGCATGGACTGTTTGGATGTTTATGGGTTGGAGTTCTCTTTGGGGGGAATGTATGTTTTGTGGGCCGGTGTGGAAGGCTTTCCCGTTTTTTTGGACCCTTAGCAGGGGGGGTCGGTGCATTCTTGCTGGAGGAGTCTTCTGTCTTAGGTAAGTTGTCTGATATCTTCTTCCTCCTGTTTGGCAGTGATGCAAGTGTGTAGTTTGAGATGACTGTCGGGAATGCCAATGCTGTTATATTTGTTTGTTTTTGGTAAATGAGTTTTTCGTTTTGTGGGCCGCAAGTATTTTCGGACCTCTGAGGGGATCGGGTTGGTGCCTTCTTGCTGGAGTAGTCTTCCGTCGTAGGTAAGTTGCCTTCTGCCCTCCATCCCCTTATGGTTACATATGTATATGTGCAAGTGTGCCGCTTTGGCGGCAGACGGGTGTGTGGCACTTGGCGCTGAACCACACAAACGTGGCCGACCTTGCATTTTCTATTGTATTGCCTATCTAAACTTTTTCGTTATGGGATGGCTTGTGATGATTTGTGAACGGAATGAGAGAGAGAATCTGGGGTCTTTTAAAACAACACACGAACACACACACACACACACACACACACACACACACATGGTGCTGATGTGTGCCCTGTTTGAGCAGTCCTCTCTGCGTGAGCAGTTTCCCTTCTTTAAGACTGATTAAAACCTCCTTGTTCGCCGCGCAGTCTTCTCTGTGGGAAAGACAATGCCCTTGACTTGCATCATCCTCATGCTGACCATCTTCTTCCAAGTTCTAACTGCTTACCATTCATTTGAATACACCCCTCTCTCCTCTGCTATCCGAGACCTTCTGTTTCACGAACGAATCACTCTCCAGTACCCTCCTGCTCAATGCTGTCCACTCGGGCCTCTCGGCCATAATGGAGAGTTGCTCCACCAAACGACAACGTTTTTATTTAGAACTTTTCTTTTCTCAGACTTGCCGGGGCAACAAGTACCAGACTCTAGCTCTGCAGAATGGAACGAGCCGGAGCCAGAGGGGGTTCCGGTAGGTCAAAAAAAAAAAAAAAAAAAAAAAAAGTCTGTGAACTTGTCTGTAGTGGTGTGGGCTTTTCTCCCCATCTTGTTTGCAGCAGGCTATCATCCCGGTCAATCTTCGGTGAACAGAGAGTAGCTGGGCTGTGTAGGAGAGATACAAGTGACCCATGTCAAAAATCCTCTCAAGGGGAGGAGGGCCAGGAGGCAGTTACTCTGAGACATCAACAAATATTGCGAATTGTGCGAGTCGGCAGGTGGGTCATGACTGTATACTATGTTGCGAGGGAGATTGATTGTCTCTTTTTGTTGTCGTTGTTGAAGTTATCGCAGGCATCGATCGGTAGAAAGAAAGTTTTGATGGACTTTGATCGTAGTAGGTCAGACGGAGAAAAGCTTATAGCTCAGACGGTTCGTTTGGACTTCGAACATAGCTCGGCGCTTTGGTCGAGATCCAATGAGAAGCTGGCAGTTCTGCACTTCAGGTTTTTGCTTCATTCCGCTTTCCGAGTTTCTGTTGTGGTCTGTTTTGCTCATTTGCTGCTTCTGTGCTGCTTGAAGATGTCGTTGTGAGGCGGTCGCCTGTAGTGCATGCGCATCATAGGTACAATTTTTCATGGCCTCTTCCCAGTTTTGCTGCCTGGTATGTATGTGTGACAAATCGATGGCCTCCGTTGAACTGTGGACGTGTGCTCGGCCCTTCCTGGTACGAAGTGGTTCTTGTAGGATCGTTCAATATGCTTCGTGTGTGTGTGTGTGTGTGTGTGTGTGTGTGTTTTGATGGGTTGAACCATGTTGAAGGAACTCGGCAAAATGACTTTGTAACTTTTTTTCTTTTCTTTTCTTTTTTTTTTGACTTTGTAACTTTAGCAGTAGGAGTATTTTTCTTTGCAAAAACAGAGAAAAGTGGCACATAACAGGGGGTAGCTTAAGTCTTTGGTTGTTGAACCCTTTGATAAAACTGCGGGGAGGTGTGTTTACTATTTAATGTTTGTTCTGCCAACTTCCGGGTAGGTATGTATTCTTTTGTTGTAGCAGGTACTAGCAGCTTTAAATTGACCTTGGGTTAGGCGTCTGTGCTTGTGGTTGTTATAGTTGGTAGCACTTTTTTTAATTAACGTTGGGCTAGGCGTCTGTGCTTGCTTGGTGTATTGTTATTACCACCAGAGATTCGATAAGTCTGTGTTTAAACGATTGAAGACCACGTCTGAGCAAACATCAAAAGTTTGAGGTAGGTTATTTGAAAAAAAAAAAAAAAAAAAGAAGGAACATTGCCGAGCATGCAATTCATGCAGAGTCCTCAACTGGGGTACCAGCTGGGCCATCGGGGTTGCCTTTGACTGGTCCAGGTGGCCTGGGCGGGTCAGGTCTGGAATCACGTCCTTTTTCAGGTCCCGAACAGCCCCAGCACGGGAAAAAAAAAAAAAAAAAAACTTTAAAAGAAGGAGAATCTGAAATGGGATGGGCCAGCCGGGCCAGGTCTGAGCAAGGTAAATGTTGTGGTCAGGATCCTGGGCAGCTCTAACGCAGGTAAAAGAAAAAAAAAAAAAAAAAAAAAGCTCTTTGGAATGGAACAGAGAAGGTTAGAATGGCCCCTGGGTAAGATGAGAGCATTGGACCAAAACAAAAAGAAAAAAAGGAAGGAAGGAATCTGAAAAGAATGAGCTATGTAATGCAGAGTTGCAAATCAAACAACTTTTCTCTTCTCTTTTTTTCTTAAACTATGCTATGATCCTTTCCCAATTTCACCTTTCACTACCTCCCTACCACTACTACTCAGCCTATACAGGGGACCTCACTGCAAGCATATCTACCTCTCACAAGGGATGCATGTTGCCCCCCACCCAAATCTGTGGTGGTCTGGGGTAATGTAACTGCAAAATAGAGGCGCTTACCTGCTCAGGCTGGGACAGAAGGTGAATGGGTTTTTCTTACACGACTGCACGTGATATTGGCGTGATTATGAATTGTGTGTGCATGTGTTGTCATCATGAGAGAATTCTGTGTGCACCGTGCATGTGTTTTCATCATGAGAGAACGTACCACAGCTGTGCGAGGAGGCTGCACAAAAACTTAGTGTGTCCTGTATTGTGGTAATAATAATAGTATTAGAAATTATAATACCACATTTTTTAGTGAAAAAGCAACTGATCTAGGAATCGAACCTGCGACCCGGCAGCAAAGAGATGGATCATGTAACCAACAGGTGGGTATCAGAGGGGTAGAGGGGCAGGAACTGGCCTTGTTTTAGGGATTGAACCGTTGACGTGGGAGCACAGAGGTTAATCAGGTAACGAACAGGTGGAGGGGTAGGGAGGTGGAAACTGACCTTTGCGAGGAAACCTGTGACCTGGGGGTGGATCACGTAACCATCAGGTGGGTATCTAAGGGGTAGAGAGGCAGAAACTGGGCTTTGCTTGGGTAGCAACTGGTCTGCACTGTGGCATGGGTGGTGAACTGTGATGGTACAGCATTTTGCCGCTTGGCTACGCTGCCTTTATAGACCCCCAGCCAGAATCCAAGTCAGAAGATTCCACCAAATCAGAAGATTCCGCCAAATCAGAAGATTCCACCAAATCAGAAGATTCCACCTTCTTTGTAGGAATAGAGCCAGTCCAGTGATTGTCTGGGTGATGCACTGGCGGCTTGTAATGTTCGTGGCATGATAATTGGCCGAGGGATTGTCTTGGCAGCTGGCATGTGTAATCGGCCTTAGGGTTAAGAACTTGGATTTTCTGGCTATGTCTATAAATAGTATAAATGCACGCATAGCAGGACCCCCACTGGAGGCCCCAACCTTGCACCTAAACCACACACTCTTCCCCCGAATACAACGTACGGTCATTGTGGCTGTATTTGGGGTATCTTTCAGTCTAAATGCAGCTAGCTATAACGACTGTAGGGGGGAAGAAGGTAGGGCAAGGGCAACATGCGATATCCCGTTTACTGTGAGAGTTAGCTATGCGTGAGTAGGTAGGTAGGTAGTGAAGGCGAGAAAAGATCCTCGAGGGAAGGAAGAACATAGTGAAGGTGAACCAAATACACCTTTGGCTGCTTGAAAATAAATAGTGTGGCGGCTAATATGGAGGTGTGAGCGCGGGATGAAATGGGTGCCGGTAGCAGCCAGTTGTATCCGTGCCGTTCCGTTTTTTTCTGTGGTGCGCAGGGCAAATTCGGCCCTGTGGCCGATACATGGGAAAGGTACTGGTGGTTGCTTGCAGGGGTTTCTATCTAGCCTTGAGAGTAGTGGCAGGTAGGTAGGTAGTGAAGGTGGGAAAAGATTCTGAGGGATGAACGTAGTGAAGGTGAACCACAGGCACCTTTGCCGGCTTGAAAATAAATAGTGCGGCAGTTAACATGGAGGTGCCGGCGCAGGAAGAACTGGGTGGCGGTGGCAGCCAGGTGCATCCGCGCCGTTCCTTTTTTTTTTGGTGCGCGGATTGCACCTATTTAGTTTCCAGCAGGCGTAGCTCCACACCAATAGACAGAAGTCGTCAGCACAGGACCTAGTACCAGTGCTGCTGCTCATATCGACCCTGGTACTAGGAACAGGCTGCCCGATGTTTAAACCCTAAAAAAAAAAAGAAAAAAAAGAAAAAGGTTGTGGATTGACCTAATGCACTACAGCACCAGTATGAGGTCAGTGTTTGGAC